CCTGCCCTGCCCTTAGCGCTCCTGGTGGGGAGGCCAGGATCTGGGCTCAGGCCTGGTTCTGCTTATGGTCAGTGCAGTCACCATCCTGGTCAGCAGTCCCCAACCCCGGGGACCTGGCCCCCTGCGGCCACCCGAGCAGCCTATCAGGGCCAGCACTGGGGTCATGAGCAAGTTTGTCCCTGACCCTACACACGCAGAAAAGTCAGCAGGAAGGGGTGGGGGGCACAGCTTGGTGTGGAGGGATGCTGTGAGCTGCTGCGTCCCCTGTGTGCAGGGGGCTTTGCACCCCGTGGCCCAGCTGGTGGGGCTCAGGGCAATGCTCGTGCTGGTCAGTGCCGGTCGCCTGCAGAGGTGTCAGGCCCAGGGCTGGGGAAGGACGGCCCTGTCCCTTGCAGGGCGGCTGCATGCCACTCTCCTCTCCCTTTCTTAGCCTCAGCCTCCACATCCAGCCAGTGAATTGAGGCACGCTGCGGAGGTCACATGGCAGCAGTCCAGAGGCATCCATCCGGGACAACCTGGTTTCAGTCGCTCTTCTGTGCCCTGTGCATGCCTCGTGAACCCTGTGCAAATCATTGTTAGACATTGCTTTGCCAAAAGGATGAATTACTCATTAGTGATGGTAGAAGAATGAACAGTATAGTCCTAGGTCGGGTTCCTGAGGTTATGTTGCCCCTGCAGGGCTCGGAGGTGGAGGAGGGACTCGCTCTGGAGCCTGGGGACTTAGTGGGAAAACCAGGACGGGGCTATAGCTGTAGCTACCCAGCTCCCGGGACTAGTCCTAAGCAGGGGTTGGGGGACAGGGATGATCGAGGAGAACAGGCAGCTCTGACTGGGGGTCCTCCATGGCCTTGACACCCATGCCCTCAACCTCCATCTAAGGCTCCCTCGTGCTAGGCACTGGGAGGGCCCTGGTCATGGGCTGGCTGGCTGGAGCCCCTTGGGAAGATTTGGGGGAAAGAAGTCCCTGTGGGTCCCTTGTGACAAGCACAGGTCCTGGGATACATCAACAGTCTGGGCACGTTTGAATGGAAAACATCGGGGCACATGAATATAGCTCCCAACCCAGGGAGGCCAGAGAGCATCCATCCATCCACAGATGAAAAAAACCAGTCTTCTAGGACCTGGGTTGTCACACAGGTTCTGTGGGAACATTGGAGATTTGTACCTTGTTCTCCCCTTGGGAAGGAGAAGCAGTCTTCCCAATGTCTGGCACATGTACATTTTGTATCTCTCATCTCATCCTTGTAACTTGTAGATAGGATGTATGTTAGTGAATTATAAATATGTACAAACATTCCCTGCAGCACACATCAACGTGTACACATCCTGTGCCTTGAGTGTAGTCCACATGCACACACACATATACTGCATAGACAAAGTCCGTTCATGAATGGGGGTGTGCTATGGGTATATTGTATATGCTTTTTATGTATTGGTATAATATATATATATGGTATGTGTATGTGCATATGTTTCAGGTCCATGTATTATCTATCCACTCATACACTCATACATACTGTTCATAAAGCTCCAAGGGTGTGCCATATATATTCTTTAGAAAGTACCCATAGACGCTACATCTGTGTGTTACACAGATAGCTTATGCATACTCTGTGTGTAGACGTGATAGGTAGAGACCTGTCCATACGCAGTGGCTGCAGTGTTGTATCAGAGCAGAGCTGGTGAACAGATCCAGTGGAGAATACACGCAGTGTATCCGGTAGGTCCTTTGCAGGAAGTAGCAGTCTCAATTTGAGAAATTAGGGGGCTGTTTATAGACTCTTCTGCCAAGTGTGGGTCTGGTGGAGGGAAAGCAACCAGGGAAGGTGTGGCATTCCGGACGAAGAGTGATGGAGAGCTGTCTGTGTGTCTGGGAACAGTTCCTGGAACTGTAGAGAGTAGCTCTGTGCTGTGAGCCTTCTGGCAGAGGTGGCTTATTACCAAGGTCCTCACCTTCCACCCTTCCTCTGACCTCCTGACCAACTAACTGGAAACCAGAGAGCAGGGCGGAGATGGGTGCATCCGGAGGCGGAAATTGAAGATGTCCTGCCGGGCTCTTTCCTGGAAGCATTGCACATTCAGCAACTTGTCCATCACTGTAGCGGAAATAGTCCTGTGCCCAAACCACAGGGCCCTAGGAGATTAATGTGGAAGGCCCTGAACTTTGGTGGCATTCACCTCCCACGCTCTCTCACGCATACACCTTCCTAAGACTTGTCCCCACTGTAATGCAGCAGTGAGATATACCTCGGAGCATCAGAATGATGAAGTCCTTTCATTCTACGGTAGGACAGATGGCAGGAGACCGGACACAGGGTCTACAGACATACTGCTGTCCAGCCACTTGAAGGACTCTACTTCTGAACATCGATACTGACAGGAATGGGTGGGGTCTGGGCACCCCATGTGCAATTGTTGACCCAGCAAATGCTGTGTTGGTTTCCTCTAATAAATAGATCACATCCGGAGCCATTAGCTAATATTACCACTTTACTCAGTTTCCAACAATCTACTGTTTTCCACCATCCATCTGGCTTTTATATCTGCTACGCAGGTGAGCTATCTAGAGATATACTGGGATTTCCACCCCTGCATTTTGTATAAATATAAACCCACTTGTTTACCAAGATGCGCTTCATTCTTTCCTGCAGACCTAAGCCTCCATCTGGTATCATTTCCCTTTAGGAAGAAGAACTTCCTTTGGTAATTATTCTGTGCAGATCTATTGGTAACAAGTTTTCTTTAATGTAAAAATGTATTTTGACTTCATTCTTAAAGGATATTTCCTGTGGATGGACAATTCTGGGTTAACACTTTTTTTTTTTTTTAAAGCTCCTTAAAGATGTTATTCCACTGCTTCCTGGCCCCTATTGTTTATGATTAGAAGTAAGAGGTATTCAAATTATTCTCTAGGTGATGCTTTCTCTCTGGCTGCCTTTAAGATTTCTCCCTTTGGTTTTCAGCAGTTTGAGTCTGATGTGTGGTTTACTTTGTATTTATCCTACTTGGAGTTCACTAGGCTCCTTGAATCTGTAAATCTGTGTCTTTCACTAAATTTGGTTAATTTTGGCTATTTCTTCAAAATTTTTTTGGTCTTATTTTTCTTTTTCTTCTGGGATGACTTTTGATATTTTCCTGAAGGTCTCTGAGGCTTTCAAAATTTATGTTTAATCTGTATTTCTCTCTGTTCTTCAGGTTGGATTTCTATTGCTATATTGGTTGCTCTCCCCATTAGCTTTCTGTTTCCCCATTCTACCTTTCTCGCCTGACTCCACCTTCATCATATCATCTTCCCTCTTCTGCAAGGACTATGGGGTTTTTGAGGGGCTGGAGCTCAGTGCTGGCTCAGTGGGGTTGAGGGCCAGGGAGGATGAAGAGAGGGCATCCTGGAGGTAAACAAATGTCATCTGTCTAGTGAGAGTATGGCCCCCAGGGCAGGTAGGACATGGCACAAATTCCTGCCAGGGGAGAGACAGACCGTAAGTGATAAAGCCTTGGTAGAGAGGTATGGGCTTGAGCATTCAGATGAAGTTTCCTGTGGGAGACAGTGGGCAGGGTGGAGGTCTTGGGGTCTGGTTGGTCCCTACAGAGTACCAGGTCCTGGACTAGGTGCTATCTGACTCAGCAGATCTGCAAACCCCACCTGGGAATTATTATTATCCCATGTAACAGATGAAGAAACCAGGGTTGGGAGAGGTTGTCTGGTGCCCAAGATAATACAGCTGGTTAAATGACTAGGAGCCCATGAGCCTATGGCTCAGGGTAACATCAGGGAAGCCTTTCTTGATAGGGCAGGATTTGAGATGTTGGAAGGCCATGTTCATCCTCCAAGCTTTCAGTCCTAATACTGTCCATGATTCAGGGCTGGTTTTTGTTTTTTTTTCCTGGGCTGTATTAGTCCCAGAGCTTGAACTAGAGCCTACTGACACCCTATCCCTGGCTCTGATATTATTACTAAGTAGCTGAAGGACACCTGGCAGGTAACTCCACCCTTCCAGCACCGCATCCTCACTCAGGATGTGAGGAAATACGGACTCAACTTTGCACAATTGATGTAGGGGATTAATGAAATGTGCTGCAAAGTTGCATGAAGAGTTTCAAAAGCACTTACACGTGTGGTTCTTAGAGGATTATTTGCTCCCTCTTTCCTGAGAAGCCCAGATTCACACAGTGGCACACTTGTATTCCTTCATTTATTAAAGAAATCTTCTACATGCTAGGTGTTACTCCAGGTGTGGGGGATTCAGCAGTGAACAAAACAGATACAAGTCTTTGCTCTCATGGTGTTTATAGTACACTCTGCCGTTACTCCTCTTGATTCAAAATCTCTGCTTTCAAGCCTCATTCTTGGTGCCTGAAAACTCTGGGTTCAAATCCCAGCTCTGAAGAACTCAAGTTACCCTACTATTAAGTAACTTAGTTTTCTTGTTGTTGGTGTCAGACTCATTACGCCTAGTTTGTAGGGTTGTTAGGAGGTCAGAATGAGGCCCTGTAGGACAAGGACTCCACACAGAGCCTGGTATGCAATAGTAATGTTGATCCACGGTGGGCATATTTAATTTTTTCCCTTGGACTCACTACTTTTGCGGTCTTATTAGTGAGTATGCTGCTTTTCCTTTTAAAACCTTTGTTTTGCTCTAAGAACAATGAAATGCCCTTGGTATTCCTCCTCCGAACTGCCCCAAATGAAATGCCCCCAAAGCACCCCTCCCATCCCTAAACTTCAAAAGACACTTCATTGATTCTTCCTTGTTCTTTTCCCCTCCCTCCAGGATATGGGCATGCCCCAAACTCCATCCCAAAGTGCCCCCACCCCCTTCCTCAACCCCAACCTCAAGACATTTTTTTCCCTGGCTCTCCCTTGTCCTCCTCTTCCTCTCACTCCCAGGCTATGGCCATGCCCAAGCCCCATCCCAACTGAAATGCCAAGTCCAACCCCATCCCAGACCTAACGGGACCTTTCCTTACTCCTTCTCCCTGTTTTCTCACCCCCTCCCCTCAGGTTATGGGCACGCTGCCCCTGGCACCGACGCGGGCAAGGCCTTCTGCATGTTCTACGCCGTGCTGGGCATCCCGCTGACGCTGGTCATGTTCCAGAGCCTGGGCGAGCGGATGAACACCTTTGTGCGCTACCTGCTGAAGCGCATCAAGAAGTGTTGTGGGATGCGCAACACGGAGGTGTCCATGGAGAACATGGTGACCGTGGGCTTCTTCTCCTGCATGGGGACGCTGTGCATCGGGGCGGCTGCTTTCTCCCAGTGCGAAGAGTGGAGCTTCTTCCACGCCTATTACTACTGCTTCATCACGTTGACTACCATTGGGTTCGGGGACTATGTGGCCCTGCAGACCAAGGGCGCCCTGCAGAAGAAGCCGCTCTATGTGGCCTTTAGCTTTATGTATATCCTGGTGGGGCTGACAGTCATCGGGGCCTTCCTCAACCTGGTGGTCCTCAGGTTCTTGACCATGAACAGCGAGGACGAGCGGCGGGACGCCGAGGAGAGGGCGTCGCTGGCCGGAAACCGCAACAGCATGGTCATCCACATCCCCGATGAGGCGCGGCAGGGCCGGCCCCGGTACAAGGCGGACATGCCGGACCTGCAGTCTGTGTGCTCCTGCACCTGCTACCGCCCGCAGGAGTACGGAGGCCGCCCGGCCGCGCAGCAGAACTCCTTCAGCGCCAAGCTCGCCCCCCACTACTTCCACTCCATCTCGTACAAGATCGAGGAGATCTCACCAAGCACATTGAAAAACAGCCTCTTCCCCTCCCCCATCAGCTCCATTTCTCCTGGGTTACATAGCTTTACCGACAACCACAGGCTGATGAGGCGGCGGAAGTCCATTTAGGGTGTGGGGCTGCCGGCGCAGGCAGAAACAGTCCTTTGTCCGATTTGACCTTGAGTTCCACTGGCCCACCTCGTCTGTTCTTTCTTATTATTAGTATCCTTTACCGTTGTCCTCATTTTCTTTATTACTTTTTCTCCTTCCTTTTTCCATGGTTACCTCTTCCTCCCCGCCCTCAGCCTCCCCGGCGAGACAGAGCAGGCCAAAGGGAAAAGAAAGGCCCGTCCTCCTCTGAAACTCGCGTCTGAGCATGAAGCATGGATTTCTTCCTTCCTTCCTTCCTTCCCAGCGAAGTATGCCTTACATTTCTCCGCAGCCTGCCCCATCTCTGGGGTGGCTTTCCCAGGACAGGTGTGAGACCAAGACCACCAGGCAGAGCTGAGAGGATACCCAACCCAAAGTTGCACACCAGGCTACCAGCCGGCGAGTGCCCACCCACGTGCTGTCTGACCTAACTCCTCTGTGTCCTCCTCCCCTGATCGGTGGGTGGCTGTGTGTGTGTGTGTGCGCACGCACGTGTGCACAGACCGCGTGTGAATGAGGGAGTGCACACGTCTGTGTGCTTCTCTGTGTGCGCACCGCGTGACAAAAACGGAAAGTATCAGGTATTCACAGTTTTCTTTTCCGTGACACAGTTCTGTTAATAACCTGCTTTCAGCGGCTTCCAAACAAAATGGGAAAACAAAACCCATGAGGTTTTTGATTTATCATTCTGCCAAATCAAGCATGTTCCATAAGCGGTCTTTCTCCCAGACGTGTCATGACCATATTTTTTAAATGCTAGGTTCTAAATTATATTAACTTCTTTTTAGGGGGCGGGTGGGAACGAAGACACGGATCATCTTAGCTTGCCAGTTCAAAAATTTTTTAGAAGCATGCACTTTGTGAAACTGGTATGCATTATCAACGCAAGACAACAAAACTAGCAACGGAGCAGTCCAAAGCCAGTAATAATTTATTCAAGGCATTGCTATCATCTGCAGTTCCAACAATTTACCATGCAACTGGAAGTGTCAGGAGAAACTGGAAAATTGTTGGAGCCACAGAATACTTTGTTACTTCCCTCTTATTTATAGGATGGAGGTGGCAGCGGCCATGGTGGTGGCTTGTGCGGCATCTACCTGCCTAAGTAAGAATTACAGTTTGGGATGCTTGGATGAGAATGGGTATTAGGTGGATGTGGTTTATTTTCCTAATAAAAAAAATGACAGGGCATTCCTTGTTTAAAAAACATATATACATGTATGTCAAGAAAGACAGTCTCTAATTGCATTTGATTTGTAAATAAGGGCGAGTCTGTGTTGGTCTCAGGAAGCGTTTAGAGGCAAGGAGCCGTGTCTTGGCCTGCTGGGAACTTGTCAATCTCAGGGGACAGTTTTCCTGAGTAGTGGAGAAATTCCTCCCCATCATCCCTTTGGACGACCCAAAGGGAAGGCCTGTTAATCTCCTGGGGGAGGGCTAGGCTATAGAATAGGGTACACTGGGGGCCTTTTCAATGACAGGAATAAAGAAAAATCTGGAATTTAAGTTCACAGAGGTGACTTTCACTTCCCTTGTCCCCTGCTGTTTCTGGAACTCACCCGTCTTCCCATGCCTTTTTCATAAACCAAACGTTCAGTGCTCTTGGATAGAAACAGGCTTTGGCTTTGGCCCAGAAGGAGCAGTGGGAGCCCCCGTGGGATCTCCCAGAATGGAGGATCTGCTTGCTCCCTAGAAAGAGACCTTCAAGATTCCTGAAAGGAAAAGGCACCGAATGTCACCAGTCCCAAGCATTTGGGCCATTGGACTGAAACGCAGGCGTCCAGACTCCTCTGAAGAGGCGGGCACTGTAGTGTCTGTGGGCCACAGGGCCTGTGGAAGGGGTCTGCGAACCGCGGTACTCAACCTTCAAGGTGGTCTTGATTCACTCATTTTTAATATATATATATTTTCAATTTTAGGGCTCTAAAATCTGTCCAGAGAATAGAATTTTTTTTTTCTTAGAAGAAATTTTTCATTTTTGGGAGGAGGGTCATAGGTGTGAAAATATTAATGCATCTTTGTAGAGTGCCTCATGCTTTGGAGGAGAATGCTTGGAATCAGTGTGGGGTTTCTCATGAAAACCTTTGTAAGATCTTTCCTCAAATGGGGTGTAGGATCATCTTTGATCTATAAGGGAAACTGAGGGACGAGGGGGTGAGTGGTTTGCTCAGAGCTGGTCTTGGTCTAAGCCGACTCCTGCCACACGGTGGCATCTTCATTCAGCCCTCCGATGAGGGCACCTGCTTCTCTCTGTCCACAGGTAGATGCCTCAGACCCCTGGAGTCAGAGGAGCATGGGCTCAGCCCTCCATTCAGGGCTGATTCCCTGAATAAAGTATCTGTTTAAAGTGGCCTTCATCTGTTTAAATGCTTCCAGTGACAGGGAGCTCCTCCTTTCCTGAGGAAATTACGAAAACATTCCATACTCTATATTTCCACAGAGCTGACTGTTCTTTATACAATTAAGGATTGTAGGATGAAGTTTTTTCTGTTCAGTGATGACCACAAACTCAAGTATCGGAAGCAATGTGGAATCTGTCTTGCTTCCATATCCTTCTTAGTTCTTGGTCTTTGGCTATTGCTCAGCCCTCTGAAGGGCAGTAAGAGAATCTTCTCTTCCAAAGTTAAATATCCTTGTTCACGCTTGGAGTATTCAGGGCACAGTGGGGAGTCTTGGTTTGCTTCCTTTGGGAGGTGCATCTTTTTCTCAGATGGCCTGGACTGGTCTCTGGCCAAGGAGTCCTCCATGCACACCGGTGAGGTGCTTTCACGGGGACAGTGAGTCAATGGCCTCCAGGGTCCTTCCCTCCTGATAAAATGGGGCTGGGGCATCTCCACCCAGAGAGCTTGGCCGCCTGAGATGGCTCAGTCAGCAGGAGAATCTTCAAAAGCCAAGAGGGAGCTTAGCCTGAGTTGCCTCACTGAGGTCCCTCATTTTCAGAGGAGGAAGCTGAGGCCCAGGAAGGGGAACCTGGCAGCTCAGATCAGCCGGGCAGGCCCTTGGTCTTTGCAGGTGTTTCTCCTCCTGCTGTCTCCCTGGCTGTTTGTTCACTGCTGTTGCTTACACCCTCGAAGTTCCCTCCGCCTCTCAGGCCCAGTCTGTTTCTCCCTCCCACAATGGGTGACTTCTTTCCTAAGTCTGGTTTCCCAGCCCTTTCTTCCAGGGAGCAGTGTCCACGAAGTGCGGGGGAGAATTCACACGAGGTTGTTTGGAGACAGGTTTCAGCTTCAGTCGGGATGAGCCAAGGAAGAGCCACGTTCCACCAGAATCACAGGGTGCTGGCCGGCCACCCAGTTCTAGAGGTCAGGTCTAGAAGTCAACATGCCTCATAGGTCCTTAAAGAGCTTTCAGACTCTTGCTTGAATGGTTTTCCAGCTGAGAGATCTCAATCCATCCACTCCACCAAAGACAGGAGGAAGGTGGGCCGTGCCACAGGGCTGGGTGCTTTCTAGAGACCTTCCCGTTTTACTCTTCGCCACGCCCATGCCGGACGGAAGGTGCTATCACGCCACGGGACTGTTAGACTCTTATTGCCTCAGAGTGGACCCACTGTCTGGGTTTGGAGATGCCAGGTTAGTGCCAGAGCTGGGATCAGGTCTCTTCTTTCCGTCCACAGCACTCTGTCTTGAAACCCAAGGAGCAGGCCCTTAAGCACGGTGGGCTGCCTGGTGCTCCCTGAGCATCTGTTGTGCTCCTGCTGTGCATCACTGATGTGGAGGAGGTGCCCGCACTCGGGCATGATCACAGCAGGTCGTTTGCAGCCCAGAAATCCCCGCTGGGAGAGGAAGCAGATGGACCCATCCTGCTGCCTGGGAGGCCCGCCTTTGCAGGTGCTCGAACCCCATCTATAAAAGGGGGAGAGTGACTGCAGAATTTGGCTCACCGTTTCTTCTGTGTGTGTAGGGCCTTAAGTGGGGGAATATCTGGACAGTAACTCAGAAGCCCACAGAGAAATCTAGGAGGTCACTTTTCTCTGCCTCACCTCGATCTGAAAGCCCTGTGGATCCTGATACCTAGCCACAATCACCAGAAGCTGGAGGGAACGGGTTAGAGGCATTCATGGTCTGTGCGCATGAAGTTGGAGGGGGAGGTAGGAGAGCAAACAATGATCAGAGGAGAAAAACCACCCACCACTGAGGTCTGTGGCCCTATTTCTTTCTGCATTTTTTTAGAATAATTGGCCCTAATTGAGATACCAGTTACGGGCGTCCACAGAGGTGCAAATCCTGAGGCCTGTGCAGGAATGTGTCCATTCTAGTAGCAGGATAGATACCATCCCCTCAAGTGCCCTCATGCGTGTGGCTTTGCTCCTGAAGGGGGGTCAGCCTGAGGGCCTGTCCTGTGCGGGCCTGCTTCACGCTGGCTGGGGCTCCGGCGTGGGTTTCTTCTAGAGTTATAGCTTGTCTGGGACTCTGGATACATCCCAGGTGAGGAAGGGTTGGTAGGGCAGGGAGGGGCCCACACCTCCTGCTTCACTGGGCCCCCAGAAATCATTTCTCCTCCCTGGGCCTCTGTTGCTGTCGAACACCGCAGTGGGATGGCATGGAGTGGGTGGGATTTAGGAGCACCTAGCACAAGATGAATTTGACCCAGGAAGACATTTGGCCTCGGATGTTCCAATCAGTGGGCACATTCGAAGGTTGGGACACCAAAAAGAATACCAGAGGCCGTTTCGTTCAGCAGGGTGCTGCAGAGATGGTGCCACTGCTTGTCCCCTCTCCAAGAAGAGAGCGTCATCGCACGAACCAGGCCCCATGCATTCCAGGTTCCCCAAAACCCTGGGCATAAATCCACTTTACGTGGCTGGCTCTTGACTACACCTTGGGAGACATTGCTGTTTCGGGCGGGGGGTGGGGGGGGGCCTTCTATTTCCGCGTGATTCTCCGCCACCAACTTTGGAAAATTCCAGATCAAAGAGCTGAAAGACGAGTATGATGAACTTCGTATACCTATCACCCAAAGTCACCAGCCTGCAGTGCTTTGTCACATTTGCTTGACCCTCTCCCACCCCCACCCCGATGTATTTAGAGGATGAAGTGGGGTCTGCAACTTTTGGGTGGTTCATCCAAAGACAAAATGGTCTCCTGGGAACAAGAGCATTCTCCTAGAGAACAGTGCCGCTCACCCCCTAGGAAATTTAGCATTCGTGCAATATTTTTACCTAAAATACAGCCCACATCCACATTTTCCCAACTGTCCCCAAAACGTCCTCCAGAGCTTTCTTGTGAATCTGAGAGACAAGGTCACATCTCACACTGCCTGTCTGGTTGCCCCAGATTGCTCCAATCTAGGACATTCTTCCTCCCCATTTTTGTCTTCCATGATGTTGCCATTTTGAGGAGTCCAGGCCTGTCTTGGGGGGATGCCCCGCGACCTACTTCTGTCTGCTGGTTTCCTTGTTTAGGGGATTGTAGGGAAGACGACAGCACAGCAGTGTTGTGTAGCCACGATGAATGCATTTGATATGTTTGGCTCTCTCGAGAGTTCTGTGATTACCTCTCTCATTGTAGATAAACAAGTCACACTAAATGTTGCTCTCCTCTGTTGGAGAAACTAGTGGAAGCTTCTAGAGAGGTGTCCATGAGTCCCTGGATGCTGGGTCTCATTGCCCAAGCCGAACATCACTCGGCTATTTCTGACTCCTGACGTGGATCTCTCTGCCGTTTGAGCGCCAGCAATCTTTACCCTAAACACCTGTGGGGGGCGGGGGTCCAGCTATAAATAGACATAAAGCACAGAGATGGGCTTTCATCGATTACAGAGCTGGCTAGCTGGTATAACCCAGTAGGATTGTTGTAAGGATCCCTGTGAGCTAGCTGGGGCGCTCTGGCACCCGGTAGCTACTCAAGCGAGTAGTAACGATCGCGGAGCCTGTCCTACCATTAATGATCATAAAGCTGTAACTGGCTGTTGTAGCGCTCTTGGCCATTCAGGGCTGTAATTGGGACCTCTGTCTTTGAGATATTTGCATTGGCAAGTTCTATAGCATGGATTTTTCAGCGCTGATAACATAAAGCAGTCCACCTGCTGTAGCTGAGTAACCTTTCATTTTGATCAAGAAAATACTCCCCTGCAGATTCTCTGAGCCTTTGCCCATGCTGTTCCTGCTCCCCGGAAAGGCTCCCTGCTGCTCTCCAGCGTGGAGGTGGAGAGGCGTGCCTCTCACTCATCCTTCAAAGGCCCCTGATGGACTCAGCGATGCCCTCCTGTGGGCTCCCTAGTTCTTTCTGTCACGCAAGAACATCCTGGGAAGCCAACTCTGACGGGCCTGGCCTCGAGAGCTGTAAGTGCTGAGCCGTGCCCACAGAGGGGAGTAAAGACCATCAGATTTCTCGCCGCTTGCCTAAGTGGCCGTTTCAGCCCCGTTATCAAGGCACATCTTCACTTCAAATGCAGGCAGTGGCTCCCTCCCTGGAAATCGATGCCCAGCCACATGCTCAAAATCCACCACCCGCCATCGGCCATTCAGTGGCACCTGCCCGCCAGAGTGGAGTATGCCACGTGCCATCGGCCGCGAGCTGCCCACAGCTCGCCGTTTCCTGTGAAGTGGGTGATTGGAGCACCTTCAGTCCCCAGAAGCACACTTGTGACACTCCACCCTGCAGCAGGGAGGGGGCCCCGTGCTGGGACGGTCTCCAGGAGCTGGTCGGTGCCGCGTTCACGCCGAAGTTCCACTGGTAGAAGCTGAGCAGCGCGGACACGCGCGGCGAGTGGCAGGAAGCCTAGGCGCCACGCCGGGAACAGAGGCCCGTGCAGACGCTTCCCGCCTCCGGGCAGTGCGTGGGGCGGACGCCGCGCAGGCTGGGGCACCTCACACAGCCAAGACTGGCTTCTGGCACTCACAGATGGGCGGTTTTGCCCCTTTGAGCCTCAGTTTCCCTCCCTTTAAGTTGGAGGTGAGAAATAAACCCTGCACAGAGCGGCTGTGGGAACTGCAGGAGTGACTTTGGCTGGGCACCTGGTCCGTGCTGAGCGCCACGCTGGGGTTCTCACTCAGGCCCGTTCTTGGGCTCCTATGGGTTACTCCCGGCATTGGACTTGAAATGGAAAGGCAGTGAAGGAGTCTGGTCGAGGAACTCAGGTAGGGCTTCATGGAGGAAATAGCTTTTGGAAATCTCTGAGGGGAGCCTTGAAGGAGCAAGTAGGTGCTGATTTAGGCAGAGGCAGAGGCAGAGCCTGGCCAAGGCACCGAGTGTGGACGTGCCGGGAGCACAGATTACACCCAGCGTGACTGTCCAGGCCCTTCACAAGCTGGTCACATCCTAAGTCGTTTGAGCCATTCTCATGCTCAAGAACCTTCCCTGGCTCCCCCGTGCCCACACGGTAAGCTTATTTCAAGGCCCTTCTTTCTCACACCTTGCTTCTGTGGAGGATCTGTCCATCCTAATGTCCCTACTGGGGCCTCCTCTTGTGACAGAGCTCCAAAGGTAGAGCCTGGAGTCTCTCCAGACTCGAATCCTATGGAGTCCTATTGTTTGGGTGGAGTTGAGTGTTGCGTTTTGTTTTTCTGAGTCTTCTGGACGTTTGCTATAGTTTACATGGGGGAATTTTTCTGGATAAGGTCTGCTTGGTCTTTCACTTGAGCCTCCGGAGGACTCGTCCTGACAAAGCCGAACAGCTACCGAAGATTAGCATGGAACTAACAAAAGAAAAATGTCTGATTGTTGGGCTCACTTGGCGAGAGGATTTGCCACTTCCTGATCAACTCTACGAACAATGGATTTTGGGACTGCCTGTGACCAGGGCCTCAGGGACTGAACTAAGGCCTCATGGGAGTTTTGAGATGCTGGTCTGGGCCCCTGCTCTTAGTCAACGTTTTCCCCCCCCGGAGTTGGAGCGTCATGTGGCTGTGGTGCTGAGGGCAGGGTCCTTCAGTAAGGGTGTGAGCCAAAGAGCCAGGGGTGTCTGTCTTGGGGAGCACTGGAGGCTCAGATCTGTTCTTCTTTCTTCCCACTGGTGTGTCCAGGGTATGGCCGAGGTCAAGGAGTGGCATCCTGTATGGAGCTCCCCCCTCCCTCCCCCCGGCAATGCAGTGTGGACTTTGATTTTGAGATCAGGCCCCTGGGTAATGGAGGCTGAAGAAGCACTTGCTGGGTGGAAAGGAAGTCTAGCTTAGAAAAGGTGAGCTGAACCAGGATTCAACACTTGCCTTTGTGATTTGCTGTGTGACCCAGGGCAAGTCACTTCACTTCTCTGGGCCTGAGTTTCTTCTTTTCTAGACTAAGGGGTTTGGCCAAGGTTCTAAGTTTCCCACCCTCCGCACCCCCGCCCCATGTCTGCCTCATTGTCTCTGCCACCAACTCCAGCCTTGGGGTGGACTGGCTGGGCTGACATCAGCCAGCGTCTGGAAGTATTTACCCAAACACCTTCTGTTACAGGTGACGCTCTCCCAGTTAGATTGTTTCACTGGCACATGGATCCTTAATTAACCAATAGCTTCTTACAGTGTCTTTGCTTAGTTTCCTTGACTGTGCAAGGCTCCCTGGTTGCACAAGGTGCGTGTTCTAACGAGAGCGAGTCTGAGCCCAGGGGAATCTGGGACTCTATCTGCAGCACTCATCCACACTTATAAGAAGAGGGGGATGGGCCCCCAGGATTTGCCTTCCCACTAATCCTGAAACCCCAGTCCTGCCCCTCTGTCTACCTCTGCTCTTCACCTGCTGCATGCTCGGCTTGTCCTTACGTCAGGGTTCTCTTTGCTTCCTGGGAGGATGCGTCGTCCACCTGCAGAAGTCACTGGCTCAGCACGGGGCCTCGTGCCAGGCCCCATCTGACTCGGGTCAACGGTCTTTGCTTGGCTGGGACTGAGCCCCGATGGATCTGGGGCCTGAGTGCAGAGCGGCACTGACTTCTGCTGCTCGTGCACACTCCTGCTGGGTGGGGGCGGGGCTCCCAGGCTCAGAGAGGGCACATTGATGGAAGGGCATCCAGGGCCCTGACTGCACACTTCTGGCCCTTCTTCCCCAAGCTCTGTGCTCAGGCTCACAGGGAGGGGTGGGTCCCCCTGCTTGCCATAAGAAAGGGACACGGGACTGCCCTCAGGAGGAGGCAGAGGGGGTCACTTCCAGAACGGGGAGGCTCCATGATGGGGGAGGCAGCATTTCACCTGGGCAGGCATGGGACAGGAGAAAGTTCCAGACCCCCAGGAAGAGTATTTGCTGAAACTCCCTGTTCCTTCACGTTGTTCAAAAGCCCAGCTCGTTGCCAGTCACCAGGGAGGAAAGCCTGAGAGGAGAGCCGAGCTCAGACCAAGCCTTTGATTGATCTTACCAGTCGTGCAGAACTGTGGCCTCAGGAGTCTATTCTTAGTAGCAATGGCCCCAGAGGGCAGACCCCAGGCTAGCATTGTGAGTTCTCTGCTACAGAGGGTGGGCTGGTGGACCCAGGCAGGAGGCAGTATGAATCACAATGTGAGTCCAAGGTGCAGGCCTCCCAGAATGGCCACGGGGTCCCCAGCACAAGGCAGAGGGTCCAGCCGTGGGGGACGGAAGAACTCTGGTTGAGCCCCCTCCATAGTCTGCTCTGTGTCACCTGGGGAGGTCACCCTGTCAGGGAGGTAGACCTGAAAATGGTTTGGAGGAGGTCATCCTGGTGGACATACCCCTTCTCTCTGGGCCTTTGTTTCCCCATCTGTGAAGGAAGGATCTGGAAAGGTGGGATTATTCCAGAAGGACTGGAGCTAGAAAACCTGGTCTTGTAGATGTGGCCTAGGTTCTGGCTGAAGCTCCATGGGACACACGGGCATGGCCTTCCTGTCACTTGTGCCTTCTTGCCTGGTGACCATGGGTTCCAGCATGGGAGGAATTAGGGCGGGAGGAAGGAGAGGAAGACATGCCCAAGGGTGAGGTAACTCTACTTGGGGAAGCTTCTATTCATGTTTCCCCATCACTTCCGGACCCCGACGGTGGCCTCTCCAGAGGTCCCAGGTTCAGGTTCGTGGAAGCGTCAAGCCTCCAGAGAGCAGGTCTTGGTTTTGTGAAGTTGAGCCATCGGCCTTGGTCAATAAAAACAAAGCTTCAGCTTCGCCTCTTCTAGCTCCTCAGCTCTGGGGGGCTGGCGGCCTCAGGGGCCGTTGTCAGCACCTGGCCCTGGGTCCCTGCCTTCCCCCTTTGGAATTGGGCCACGTGGCCTTGGGCAAGTCACCTCTTACTCTCTTCTGTGAAGGATGAAATGGCCAGGTGAGAAGCAGGTATCCCCCAGAGAGGTGCAGGGGGAGATGAAGGTGATGTGTGGGGCTCTTGGCTGACGTTTCGGTGGGGGACGGGTTTGCAGGAAGGGCAGGGCCAGGTGCTCCCAACGGAGGGTCCCTGACCTGGGTCATCTCCTCTCTCCTAGGGACAGCACATTTCCCAGGTACGGCTCTGTAGACCTCCTCACCCCGATGAATTCTGTCTCTACCCACTTCCTCCAACCCTTCTGTTGATGCATTCTTCTTGGCGGCCCCACCTCTCCGTTCCCAATGGACCAGATGCTTGGTGATGATGTGGCTGGGAGGTCTTCCGGGGACCCAAGGCCCACCATCCCCCCCGCCCCAGAAAAACCTTGTGGAAAGTCTTGCCTTTCCTTAACCTGAGAGGACAGAGCAGCTCCTAGGTGTGAGCTGCAGCCGTGGGGGGCCTGGTGGCTCCTTGGGGCCCCCCTGTGTGGTGTGATCTGCTATTTACAGAGCATGTGGGGCATCTGCCAGGAGCCAACCTTAGCCAGAGGCCGTGTGGGGAGCACGACCATCAAGGTCTCCAGCCTCAGAAGGCTAACCTCCAATGCACCACGTGCCTCCAAGATGCCCGAGGTCTATAAACTGAGTCAGGGGAGCAGGTATGGGAATCAGAACATGCCTCAGCAATCACTACAGCTTCTTGAGCTGAATTTTAGGATTTGGGTAGAAAAATAAAAATCCAATGCAAGGGAAAACATATTGGGAACCCAGTGAAGCAGAACCCACAATTGCCAAGATTTCTCTATAATTTGATGGCTCCTCAGAGAATAACACACTCCTGAAAAAGGCTAATTATATATTTGTTTACTCAGGCTACAAATAGCATTTTGACGGCCATTTGGGGCTGGAAGGGACCTCCAGAGATCATCTCGGTCCACCCTCCGCTTTATCAGAAATCTCCGTGGAATATAGATAATGCACTGGATTAGGGGAAAGTGTTGGTACCGAGGGAACTTTGAGGGAAACCGGCTTACCCTGACCGGAAGGGTTGAGGCCATCTCCTGTGCCCATGAATGTCGATCGGGTGTGGGGCGGGGGGGGTTGCCGCTAAACAGACACAGGCAGAGACTTCAGGGAGGAGGAGTAGGTTTTAAACCACTGATCTGGTTAACAAGGAGGAAGAATTTCTAGTCTGTTCCCAGCAGGCCAAGAAATTGCAGATGCTCCCTCTAAGTTGTACAATTTTTAATGTCAGCCAACTGTGTGTCCTTGTACCTCAAAACTTTAACAAGAAAAAAAGCATCATTTGTGACCCAACGCATAGAATAGTTATTCAATTAGTCCCACGCTCACATGCATTGAAATGATGGGCATATACATACAAGGGGTGCTCTCTGGGGGGGGTGGGGCACAGAGATGTGGATCCTCATGTATTCATTTGGGGTGCGTGTGTGTGTGTGTGTGTGTGCTGACTGGCTATCTGGATTATTTTGGGGGGGCATAGTTGGACATTTTCATGTCTGCATGGTAAGAGGACATGGGTCTGGTTCTGATGGTGTGGATGTGGCCGGAGGCCACACTGAGGGTGAATGGGAAGGTCAGTCCCGAGCCCCTAAGCCGGGACCTTCCTTCCCATCCTGGTGGGTGTTTGGGATTGGACCCCGTCTCCCTGCAGTCCAGGCATCGGACCTGTGGTGGGAAGTCATACCAGATTCAGCAAAACCAGTGATTCCAACCGGACCACAGTGTACCAAATTCAAAGCAGCCTACTGTTTTCCTTTTCTTGTGTTTCCCTTTTGTTGATCTTCTCCGGCCCTCTCCGCCTGTGGGGAGGGCGCCTTCACAAATGGCCTTAGCATGCCGTTCTGAAGTTTAACAGAATGAGACAACCATCAGACGAAATCAGAGGTATTTATTATCACAGCTTACCTGAAGAATGACAAACAAAACTGTATCACCAATGTTTACAAGTCCAAGTAGACATCCAGCCCGTGTAAAATATGTAATTTATGCAAGGGATTGCATCTTTCTTTTGTAACGAATGCACTAAAGCAACCCTGTATATATTTTACAATGTCTTTACAGAAAAAAAAAAGAATCATTTACTGTAGTGTTGTAAAATAATGCACTTTTCTAATTTTTTCATTAAAATCTCTATGGCACGTTTGCAAATGTGTCTTGGTCTTCCTTCACTAAGAAAGGTTCAAAGTCACCTTGACGCAGATTCTCCCCACCTTCTGATGGCTTTCTGGAGCCGGGGGATGGCAGCCCCTTTGCTCGTGGTCATCCCCACTAAGAAGCCTTTTTCCTAAAAACCCCAACAAAGACCTTCACGGAACGGACACCTGATTGGCCCGTTTTTGTTTTTCTTTTCTGATTGAGGGACCTTAGTTCAAAACACGAGACGGCCCCTTTCCCTTTTCACCTTCTGTCTGAGCGTGGAAGGAAGAAGGGGAAATAGGCAGAGAACAGGTGCTCAGGAATCGTGCTACAGTGAAAGCAAAATCTGCTCCTGGCGACCTGTGGTAGCTGCCCGGATGTGAGGGGCTTCCTGACCTCACTTGTGTTCCAGAGTCACGGGCATCGTGGAACTTATCCCTGGGATGCCAGGGTCAGAGCTTCCCGGGGTGGGGTGTGGTTCTCAGATTTGGGCATCACACTCACCGGAGGTCTCCCCAAAACAGATTGCCAGGCCCCACCCTCCGTGTGGGTCCAGGATGGGGCCCCGAGAGTGCGTGCTTCGAACAAGGCCTCGGGGGATGTTGATGCTGCTGGGGTGGGGCCCCCCCACCTTGACCCCAGACTGTGGTCTCCATTCTGTCCCAACTCAGATTAAGGGGAGATTCTGGCCAAAAGCACATCATGGGAACCCCACAAATCCAGGCTCCTTTCTGCCAGTCTGGTAGGAAATGTCCTCGTCCCTGGGACACCTGATGCCCTCCTGGATGTTCGGCTTCCTCTGGGGCTTGCTCGAGGCGCATCTCTACACCGTTGCTGACCCAGGAAACAGACTGACCCTGGCGAGAACCTGCGCTCTCTGTGGCTCACGTCACTACAGTTTTGTCTCCCAAATGAACACCTTGTTTCAGGAGCTGGGTCTTCCAAGCCAGGGGTGGGCAAACTTTCTGCGAAGAGCCAGCTGGTACACAATTTAGATGTGATGCAATAACCCAATTCTGCCAGTGTGTCAGGAAAGCAGTCAGGGACGGTGTATAAAGGAACAAATGGGACTGTGTCCAATCAAACGTCATTTAGAGAGACTGAAATCTGCATTTCAGGGCATTTTCATGGTAACAAAATATCATTCTCTTGGTCCTCCCCCATTTAATAACAAAAGTCACTGAGCTGGGGGGCCGTGCAAAGACCCCTATTGTTAACCCTTCAGGGGTCTCCTGCATAGCGGGTCAGGGAGGGAGCCAGGGTGTGACAGTTGTCAGTCGGGTTTCTGTACTCTGCTTCTCCCAATAGCACAGCGGCCAAAATCGGCTCACGGGTCGGAGGAATCTTTATTCTTCTTGGGGGGTTCAGAGAGATTATTAGTCCAGCCTGACCCAGACTAGCCTTCCCTGACCCTCACCCCATGCTTCCTTTACCTTTCTCTGTACCACCCACACCTTCTACCCCAACAAGGACCAAGACACGCCATAACCCAGCAGTCACAGGTAAGGGCCAGATGCAGCAAGCCTCACCCCGGAGGTGG